TCAACGATCTGTTTCGCATTCATCAATTCTCCTTTTTCCTAGTGGACAAGTGGGCGAAAAACTTTACGTTTTGCGTGCGTCGTTGTTATGCTATGCATGTTTCTCTCACTTCAATCAGCTATGGACTGCGCAGTCTGGAAGAAGAGATCCACATCGAAAGTGATTGCACCGTGAAACAAACGATTAGAGCAGAGTTTGCAGTGCGCGCGCAGCAAAGTCCCATACAAATGAAAAAATAGTAGGAGCCCATCAAGCCAAGAAAATTTCATCTATCACGTGACCTTCTGACCGACCGTACGTTCTATGAGGGCAGTCTTGTCCTTAGGGAGAAACACATGTTTACTCCTTTATATTTGATATTCCGGGAGGGAAAGTATTACTATAGTTCGAAACAAATTTCATCGTAACTCCTTATTAGACTTAAACTTTTTCAACTCAATGGAGTTTACTATTATCGGCATATTCAATTTTGAATGGGCTTTTTACCCAAGCGCAACTACAAAATATCCCACACGGAAGCGATACCAGAGAAAGAGAATATAAATTGTTCACGCATACATCAATACAACGAGGTCCGGATGGTTGAGGGTTACCAAATCCAATTCATTGAACTACCCCTCATCCGCGTCTTTGACCTCAATTCTTTTGGCTTCGATAAAAATGTCTGACTTGATTTATCGTTTTATCTGTAGCCGTAATGAATAAGCTTTTGGTTTTATAGTTTTGACTACTGACTATTTAAAAACCATAACGGCCTGCTTTATAAAGTAAAAAATAAGATGATTTAGGTTAATAGACGGAAGTTTTATTCGATTTCGTGCTCGCTACTTTTTAGGATTACTCGCAAAAATTTGAACCGCGAAAAGAAGGATTTGGCGAAGTCTCTTTGATTTCTTGATCCGCATTGAGAAAAATAGGCAAGGCGAAATTCAAAATCTTTTGCTTTCTATTGATAATAAGTCATAATGCTCTGTCTCCGAAATTGTCTCTAGATAACTGTAAAGAGTAAGCCGTCCTTGAGAGTAAACCTAACATAAAGGCCACAGAAGCCTTCATCACTTGATTAAAAAAACAGACTGACGAGGATCAAGTTATGAGTCTTAGGTGAGCACAAGTTCAATGCACAATTGGTCAGTTTTCATTACGGACCAATGTAGTTTTGATGAAGGTTTATTTTTTCTCTCATTTTCTTCCTTCATGATAAAGGCTGACGATAAACTTTGCGTTACGGGTGTGTCGTTTTCTATGTCATGAAAACGTTCAAGCACTTTTTTTACGGGTGGCGAGAATTAAATGTCGACGATTTTTAGGTTTGTTCGTTTGTTCAATTCCTAATGAAACATTTCTTAGACACTCAAAATGATTTAAACAAACTATCGATTTTGACAACGTGAACAACGTGAACTTTAACTTGTGAAGAGAAAGCAATTATTTTCCTTATTTTTGTGACATTCGCTGCTGGACAGCAGCAAGCTCAGCTTGTTTTTATTTCCCTGTTAGTTATAATTTCTGTCAATATTTCTTCATTTTGCCAGAACATCAATTTCTGATGAAAAATGTCTCAAAATGGTACAAAAATTGTTGATGGTGATAAAAATTGAAAGAGCCATGTGTGTTGGGTTTGTAATATAATTAACAATATTCTGTCAGCAAAATTCTAACTTAGTGATGGTTAGTTGCCCATATCCACTCATAATGAGGTTTATTAATGTAAATATCATTTACTACCTTAGTACTCATCATAGTTTGTTACTAAAATATGGAATAAAAGCTTCAAATGAGGGAAATATTTTAAGTAGCAATGGTCTCATTACGAAAGCGCAAAGACAAAGTATCCCACATGGAAAGGCTACCAGACAAAGACGAAATAAATTTTTCATGCTTCCTTCCTCTTATCGAGGTCCGTATGGTTGAGGGTTACCAGATGCAGATCACATCTTTGTCAGCCCTCAACCGCTTCTTCGACCTCATTTTTCATTACCAAGTAATGCTACTTGAATAATTTGATAAGTTTTCCTACAAGCCTTTTGATCTAGTTTTTTGTTCAACAATTTGGACTATTGTTTGAATATGGTAAAAGTGTTCATTGTGAATTCAATCGTAATGCGAGCGAAGGGGGCTCTTTATTTTGTTATTTCCTTGCAAAAAAAAAATTCGCTCGCTGAAATTGGAAGTTTTTTGATTTTACATGATAAAATAAATAAGCTGTGCTTGCGACGTGAGCCAACGTAAAACCTATGGAAACCTTCATCACGTGATTTGCAATCAGAGTGACGAGATAGACTTTTTAAGAAATTTGTTTACCCATTGCAGGTCTCAAAGGAATTCCCAGCTTTATCTTTTGAGCGTTATGCGTACACATGCACGTGAATAAGAGGAAATTTAAAGGAAACATCTATTTAGAGTATTATCACCCAAAGTAAGTAAACTAAATTTACAGAGTTTTAGCAGAGTTTTATTAGCAGAGTTTTATTAAGCTATGAGTCTTTGGTGGCCCGAATGGGTCATTTTTGAAAAGAGATATGTTCCGATATGAGGGTTTATGTAAACCTCCCACAAAAGAAATCTAACACCTCCTTTTATGCTAAAATTGACAAAGATCTCACTTTCCTCAACCAAAACATTGTCAAAAATACGATTAACGATCTTATAGCTAAACAAGAACTGCCGGATACTGCAAAAAATCTCACTATCACCACTCCTAGAACTTTGTGTACTTACTTTTTAACTAAATTCCACAAACCTAGCAACCCAGGTCGACCCATTGTTTCTATCTGCTGTTGTCCCTGTCTAACCCTAACCCTAACCCTAAGCACTTCTCGTCCAAATGTTACCATCTTACATTAATGACAGCCAACACGCACTTGAAATTTTTCGTGACTTAAATTTCCTTGGCCAATACAAACTTATTTCCCCTGTGGATATTATCTGTAGCCCCATTTTCTTTTTATAGACCCACACACAACCCACATACAACCCAAAATTCCTCCAATCGCTCTGACGAAGGGCTAACGCTCGAAAAGTCAGCCTTTAAACTCTTTACTGTGGCCAATTTATGTTTTCAACTCAGTGATAATAATAGATTGCCCTGTTACACTCTCCCACCGACTCAGCACCACAGTTCTTTTATTCATTTGTATTTAGAAGCTAATAAAACCGAAGTTTATTATGATTGAACATATCACTTTCTAAATTAGTCCTTACGAAAGGTTTTAGTACGGTGATACTCATGGAACAAAAGGTTGAATTAAAGGAAAATATTCAATTTCAATGGGCTTTTTACGCAAGCGCAAAGACAAAATATCCCACATGCTGGCGATACTTTAGAGTAAGAGAATATAACGTGGTTGGAATGTTTGAAGACGTTAAATTGTCAAACATGATGACTGCCGGGCTCAACTATAATTTTTGACTTGATTTCTCGTGTCATCTGAAGACGCATTGAATAAGCTTTTGGTTTATAATTTTGACTACTATTTGAGAATCATAGCGGTTGTCTTCAGTTATAAAATGAAAAGATGATTTGGTTTAATACATGCATATGGAAATTTTATTGATTCTGCGCTCGCCATTTTTAAGGATTAATCGTTAGAATTTGAAATGCGAAAAGTAGGATTTGAAGCGGTCTCTTTGATTTCTTGATTCATACAAGGCAAAATTCAAAATCTTTCCATCGGTAAGAATTTATAATGTTCTGCCTTCCCAGTTTGTCATCAGGTAACTGTGAGAAGTAAGTAGTGCTTGTGAGAAAACCGAACACAGCGGCCACAGAAGCTTTCATCACTTGATTTAAGAAACTGACCTACGAAAATTAAGCTTTGGGACATTTTCCCTCTTTATGATAAAGGCTGACAATAAACTTTGCGTTATGGGTGCATCGTTTACTATGTCATGAAAACGTTCAAACACTTTATTTTAAGAGTGGCGAGAATTTTAAATGTAGATTTCGGTAATTTTTTTCCCTAAGTATGAATTTTACATTTTTCTTCTCTAAAAGTCATAAAATATCCCTTCTTGACATTTGTCAGAGCAAGTCGACCGTGACCTTCCGAGTATAACGACACATTTCTGTAAATACGTGAATCCTGATCAATTTGCTAAGAAAAACGTTCTACTTAACTCCTGTGACAGATAGCTCAGAGATGTCATTGTATATCTGTAATTAGACATCCACTGTTACTCGAAGCTCCAATTTTTTTTCGCGAGCTTAACTTAGCACTTAGAAAACTGAGCACCTCTTAGAATAGATCACTTCCACGGACGAATATCCGCGCATAGGTTTCGCGCTAAATGGAGGCAATCTTTAAATCAACTGTAGGCAAGGCGTTTAAAGCGCGATTGCGGGTCTTAGTTCTGGGTTAAAATATGTTGACATGGTAGCGCTGAATTTGTGCAGGATTATTTCTGATTCTACCTCCAACATCTGGATCCTGTAAAAGCTTTCTGACTACCCAAACTGGGGGTTGAGTCTTAAAAAAATAGCAGTTTGCACAATCATTAGAAAACCGCAAAACCTATGTGATGCAGTGGAAAAGTGGATCATTAGTTTTGTCTTCTGAGTGCTTTAGAGGACCAGAGGACAAAATATATTTGAAAACCTTTTTATCTTATTTTTTGTTTTTCCCTTTAATCTATCAATTCTTCAAACATGTTAATGAGTCCAGATGTATTTTAATTATGCCGAGAAGCACCTGCCATGAGCCATAAATAAATGTGTCAAATTCTCCTTGAGAATTAATGAAAAATCCAAAGGATCGAAGGAAGTGTATGAAAAGGTAAACTAACTTCGCTTCTGCTGAGTTAAAAAATTGTTTCAAAACTTTCTTTGATATTTCAATTCAGTAGTTTCATGATGTCTCATTAACTGCGAGAACAAGAACTGAGGTCTGTAAATTAACAGCCAATGTTTTTCCTCCATTACCATGGATGCTGAGTTGAGACAATTAATAATTTAAAGTGAAGAAAAAATTTGCATATTTGTACTTGTTTTGCAAACTAGAAGCTCCTCGAAAATCGAGGAAATTATGCACAATACGCTTTAATCTTAGTAGAAGAAGAGAAATTTCGCGAACAATGAAAGAAAATGTGGAAATTGTTATTTCTTTTCCTCTTCTTTCGTGAGGTAAAGTTATTTTTGTGTGTTTATCTTTAAATGAATTTCTCACCTGGCCCTTGAGTCCGGAGAGTGACTGTCGACTCATCTGATATTTCTCTGTAGGCCGAAAAGGTTTTTTCTGCCAATGAAACAACTTCAGTGACCGTAACGGGTAAGTAAAGGCTCTGAAAATTCCGAAATTTGATGATCAAGTTAGAACCACATTTGAGGTAATATATCATTATTATTTTTCCACAAAACCAACCGTTAATGAAGTTTGCTCTTATGCATGCGAGACATATTGTTTATTCCGTTTTCTGTAAAAGTTTTACAGCGCATTGAATAAGAGTGAACAGATAAGGAAAAAATTTCAACCGCTCATAAAAGTCCCCAATTTCCTCGCTCAACTCCGTTTCTTAGTGAGCCCCAGAAGTTTTACGGGGTAATTTTAAGGTTGACTTATTATTTATGATTGAACTGCGGTTGGTCTATGCGGAAGACTTTATCATCACTGACCGAAGATCGTTGACTTGCTATCTTGTAGATGATATATTTGCACTTTACCTAGATTCATTTTGACTTTTATGCTACAGATGGCAAGAAATTGTAAAATTGCATGGGTTTTTACAATTAGGTTGCCAAGATGTAATTGCAATGCTATCGTTTTACATGTTGTGTAAACACACGCACAGGAGCCATTACTGACTCTCTGAAAACCATCATGGATTTAATTTTTACTTGGCAATGAAACCTTCAAGATAAAAACAGTGGGCTGACGGTTCAGTTAAGTAATCACACACGAATAAATTGAATGAGTCCACTAGTATGTTTGGGTCAGTGATTTCTCCTGATTAAGATACAAGTGCAAGAAACTCTCCCTGTATCTACAATGTAGTCTAACTTTAAAAACAGATTGAAAGAAGACAGAAAATGCCTTTGAAGAAGATAATTTTTTAACCCAAGATCGGGCTGATGAATCATTATCAAATGTTTTTAATTGTTTAAATTTTGTTTCGCTCGATGTTACAAGTACATAAACAAACAACGTTGCGTTCTAGCCGTGTGTTTTTGAATGCTCAAAGTTTTCAGGAAATTTTTTTCCATTTCTTTGTGCGTAGCAACTAAAGCTCTTGTAGAATTGTCTTGGTCAAATTTTCTGTGAACAAAATGTTACCCAGTCACATAATTGTCTATTTTTCAGAGAGCACGATATCATACAGTACGGCAAGTGTCTCGGCTGGCGCAGATGTCTCACCCAATGCTTCGTCGGACAGTACCGCTTTTTCTCGAACAGTGACACTGGAACTGAGTCAATCCATACTTGGCGACAATTCTGAAAACATCGTTCAACCATCGGCAACCGCTGCCTCGCAGCAAACGTCGCAGACCATAAATGCATCTGTGACAGGTACATCTCTGTGCTCTGCGGAAGTTCAGTTTTGTTCTATTAATTATTTGAGGTTAATTCTCCATCTTCTTTGTTACATAGCTATCGTGAGTGCATTGTGGTTTAAAATACTTTGAGGTAAACATTAACTGCGATTTTTCCGCAGAGGGAATCAACGTTATCCTCGTTACGAATTGCACTTCTCATCGTTTTAAAACAAGAATGTCTCGCCCATAATCTCGACCACTGAAATGATGTCGAAGTACCCAATCGAAACCTTCTTATATCACTCTTCCTGTAGTGTGCTTGGATGCAGCTTCATTCATTTTGTAACTGTTGCATACCTCGAAGTTGACCTAAAAAATTGTCAAAATTGCCTTACTTTTCATGGTTCTAGGATTCTTTAGTAATTACATGCGCAACTGAGAAGTTATTTTGTTTGAATCACGATGCTAATCGCATTTCAGCTCCCCCCGAACTGGGTTGTATGAATGTCAACTGGGGTGATCCCGAATGTCAGGATGTAAAGTGCGTTGAGGTAAGTAAACAAAAACTTGAAGTGGTTTTCATGATTTCTTACGGGTAATTCTTGATGAGAATAGAGATCGAGACCAGTTAGGATTGAGGATTCAAGGAGAATGGGTCCGTGATTCGTATTTTTATGCGTATAACAATGATTTACCGGGTGTTGTAGAACTCAAGAAAACCCTCACACAATAAGGTGAAATAGTTTGTAACTAAAATAAATTGGCTTTGTAATGATAAGAAAGTGCGTACCGCTGCTGATAAAGCAGTGGTCAATGAAGTTCCAGTCCATGGAGAAGCTCTGTTCAAGTTACTTTGCGCACTCTGTTGAAGATGCAAGACCTCCACTTCTATAGAAAATTGAGAGGCACATACGTTTTAGGCTACAGTGAGGGGTCTTAGCATAATCACGATCGGGGAATGATTTATTTGCGTTTTGTTCCATACAAAGCCTTAGAAAAGTTTTCTAAGGCTTTGTATGGGACGTAAAACATGAACGGTCACAGCTTTGCCATGCAAATTCATTTTTACTACCCTTAGACATGATTGTTAAGATATACTTTTCTTTTAGGATCAGATGGATGCTGTGTCCAACTGTATGAAGGTAACTTGCACTTACTTTTGAATATAAAACTGGAACAAGTAATTATCATTTTTTTCCCGCACCCACCCGCACACCAGAGAAAACGAAATTCTAATTTCCTTGACACTTTTAATTGACAGATATTCTCGAGGCTTTGGCCAACATCGTCATTTGGGTTTAAGATTTGCTAAACACGTTTCAAGAAAATCTCAAAAAACAAAAAAAACTCAAGAAGATCACCGCATAGTTGTTTCTCATTTATGCAGTAACAACGTTGCGAAATATTAATAAAAATTATCCAAATCCAAATAAATTTAGAATGAAAAGATTGAAATACTTTCTGTGTTTTCTTAGGACAAGCCGGAAAATTTTTCTTTATCAAATATGAAGGTCCCTGAACAGGTCGTGAAGACAGGAATGTCCCTTGCAAAGGCGATACAGAGTAAAGATAAAAACAAGACTAGAGTCATTATCACGGATAATATTGGTGAGCATCTCAACCACTGCAACCAAGAGATAAACTTAGGATAAATTTCTCATTACTTTACGAGTGGAAACTTCTCTTAATGATCTCGCTATACGTAATTACAGCTGGTCTAGTTCTGTAAAGGAGTAAGGAGCAGTGCAAAATACGCATTGCGGACCCACTTTTTCCTTACGCTCAAAACCAAAAAAAAATTAACCAGCGTGTTTTGACTCAGATTAAAATTGCAATCTTGAATGTAGTCTTATTTATTGCTTTCAGCTATGGAAGTCGGTCTCTTTAACAGTGGGGAAATGAAAAACAACTTTAAGAAACCTACACTCGTATTTCCCAACTACTCTGACCCAGCATTCACTGACAAATGGAAGGCCATGGGTGACTCTGTTGCATTCACAATGGATAAGCTTCCTTTTGAAGGTAACAACGAAGCTATAGAGGAGTAGGGGAGGGAAAGAACAGTGTTATTTACTTATAATAAAAGTTTGATGGTGTTCTCTTTTGATCAGTTTACTCGACCAGCGAACATCCAAAATAGCTCCACTGTCCTAAACAACATTTTCCCAGCTAAACTATCCAAGCAAGAAAATCCGGTTGCCTTAGCCACTCTTCAAGATTCCAGGTTCTTGTACCCATTATGGTCTGATTTCTTTGGAGCCGCATTAATCCTACACAGAATTTTCCTTTGAGAATTTTTTTCGTGTTAGCTTACTAGGTGACGAACCACAAAAGAGAGGCAAAAAACTAACATTTACGTAAGAGTAATAACTGTATTTGGTTCTTTAGTGTTGGTGAAAGTGTTCACAGCTTGGTAAATATCCACTCTCCACTTCGGAAAAAGATTTTTGATTATTTTCTTTTCAGGAGAAGTCGCGTATTCTGTCGCCATTTTGCCTGATGTCGTGGGAGAATCATATCTGGATAAAGATATGATTGCTTGGCAGGACAAGTAAGCATAAGCCTTTTTTATCAAGCTTTGTTTAGCATCGGGATAAAGAAAACAGCTCCCATCTAAAAGATTGCGGTATCTTTCAAATATTTTCATCTCTCCTCCCTCTCTCATCTCTCTTAACAATTCTTGCTTAAGTATATCTTCCTGTGAGTGCTTTGAACAAAAAATTATTACGATAGAACCAATATTTCAGAGAGCTGGGTAACCAAAATTAATGGCCACTCATCAAGAATAAGCATGTTCAGGAGACCAAAGGAAGGAAAAGAAATTTTAAACTTAACTTATTGAGTCTCTCTTTGATTGGCTGGACTGGGTTCGATCGCCTTGCTTGATATCTTACGGTTCTAATTTCTTCTTACATGTTAAGGCTTGAATTTTGAAAGTTTAACATTTCCAACCTGCGTTCGTTTTCTCCATCATAAGCTGTCCTTGTTCGTTATTGATTTTTTTTTACCGTTTCTATTTTTTTCATTTTATCGATCAAATGTTTTTAGTCACTATCTAGTTGAAGAAGATGTAAGTTGGGTACGTCCCTCGACTCCTTCCCCTTCCTTACCATAAAACAAAGTTTAGATATCGTAAAAGAGCTACGTGAAACATGGTTACTTCTTTCTTATTTAAAGCCATATTCCAGATTCAGCTCTGTCTGAGTTGTACGTGGTGGGTGACAAACTTATGACCCGAAAGGAAGTTCCAAGGAGACGAATCAACAGCAACTTGCTCTCCGCGGAATTTCGTCATAAAAATAAAAGTGAAATGCTGAGTGGACGGCTGGAAAAACCAGCTTTGATTACTTTAAAACATCGTCATGTAAGCATATAACAATTACTATAGCTTTCATAAGTCCATGTGGGAACGCGGATATACCAGGATAGCAAACACTTACCACTTATTTAGCCTGCTGGCGTGATTTTGGCGGGGGAGTTCTCACTATTTTATCGGTGGAAATTCTAGTTTCCATCAGCAGCCAAGGTAAGAAGTAGGATTTCAATAATGGAATGTTAGGAATGAGTGCATGGCTGGTGGGAGGAAGTAAATCAGGTGATAAATGAATAACTAGTTAAGACCAACTTCTTTTTTCATGAAACTAGACATGAATCTTTTTTTCCTACAGACCACTGAAGATCATTTTGATCCAAGATGTGTTTTCTGGGATGGAAAGTAAGAGAAATGTATAGGTCGCTAATAGCTTTTTACAACGTAAAATCTCATATGCTAATATACGACAGCTCGAAAAAGGTGATCAGGCAAGTTTGGTGATCCTATTGATAGAAGGTATATGATCTACCTAGTGAGGAAGGTGATCCTATCGGAGGCATGGTATTTAGCTAATGAGGAAGGCTAGGAAAGAATTTTAAAAGATTCCCGAGATGTAGTGGTTCAATGTAATTTTCCTTTGCCACCATGAAAGATGATTGTACGTGTGCGCTGCAGAAACGTCTATTTTTTTTCTCCATAACTTGTCATTAGAGGTAAATCGAAGTCCTGGTTTATTTCCTTTAACGTTGTTTCATCTTCCCTTTTTTAGCCTCGAGGCGTGGTCCAATGATGGTTGCAAAGTTGGAAAAACCGGAAAATCAGAGACAGTCTGTGAATGCACGCATTTTTCAACATTTGCACTGATAATGAGCGTAAAGGAGAAGGTAGGAGAGTCTCATCACATCATGATAAAGCCCTATAATATTCCTTACACGTGTGTGCATACTTTGATATGATATCGCTCTTACACCCTTACTTCCTTGCCGCTATCAAAGTCGAACAGCTGTTCGAAAGGAAAAAATTGGTTATTAATCATGAATAGACCAAGTTTTAATTCTCCTTTTAAGCTGTCAAATACCGTCATTTTTCACCGCAAGAGAGTACTCTCTTGTTCACAGGTGAGTAGTAATAATTTGAAAGTTATGCTTATAGCTTTGAAGTAATTTTTCGGCGCATGTACTTATCGTTTCAGGTGGATGACGCGGATCGCAAAATGGTTGTTACTGTGGCTACTGTACTGGGATCATTCTCATTGCTTGCTCTGCTGATCTGTGCTGCCGTCGCCATTGTTCTCACGTAAGAACATTTCGTGACACTGCTTTTTGAGATCTATCTTCAAGCTGGTTTTAAGGTTTCATGATACCATGATCGCAAGAAAAAGGGCCCGAATGCACATTAGAGAGAAGAGCTAATAAAGAACATACCGATGACAAAAATGAGTTTCATTTCTTCTCTTAATTGACAGCCCGTTTTAATAAATGCAGTGCGCATTTTTCTGGTGGAAAACCTACGATGATGAGAATGGAAACCGATATAGGCCTTAAATTCAAGTACATCCCGCATTGCAGCTTTAGCTAGCCCAAATGGACTGAAAATAAAATTATCACTTTAGAATTTTGGATTTGTCTCGTAGAGAGACCTGCTCATAATTTAGTGAAATAACCTTTTAATTTGCTGATGATATCAGGTAAGCTAACGATTCCGAACTGAGTCATGGCGACAAAAAGCCAAATCAAAGAAAGAAAAATAAAAATGTGTATAAAGTAGACAGAGTTTTCATTTTTACATTGCCTTGCTGATCAGTGGATACGCAATTCTTTCCTTCAGCTATCATCAGAGGGACAACATGCGGATTGCTCTTAACGTTGATGTATCACTTCTGCTCAGTCAGCTGGTTTTCTTCATTGGTTTATCTACCGGCGATAATTCGGTGAGAACAATTTGAATGAGATCTCATCCACGTTAAGAGAACGGTCATTACTTATTTCCTTGAAGGGGGGGGGGGGGGGGGGGGGGGAAGGGGTTGATGGATTTTGTTTGTGTCACGATGAAATTTATATGATCCCATCCTAAGGTTCTGCAATGTTATTGTGATTTCCCCTAGGTGGCGGTTGGTCGGCAATCAGTGTCCTATACTCCTCTCTTTAGACTCTGTTGGCGACGACTGATCCCCCCTCCGTTTCCTCTGAAAACTATCCGAACCACCACCCCCATCAACCCCATACCCTGCGTCGGTAAATAATGATTAGTCCGATTGAGTCACTTTTACCTATCATTGTACTAAAAAGCCTGTCGTTCTAACATTTCTTCCCATTCTGAGAAATATTTTGTTGAAATAATCTCAGTAATAATCCCATTGCATCTCTCGTCGTAGTATTTCGCCAAACCCAAAACATGTGATGTGGTCAATCCTTTCGTGCACTTTTTTGAGCTGGCAGCTCTAACGTGGTTGCTAATGGAAGCAGTGCACTATTACTCCACGCTCAAGCCACTGTTCAACGAGAAAAACACTGTACCCATCGTGTTTTATTTCGCTGTGGGGTGGGGTAAGTTGTAAAAGTTTTCTTCGGCCTTTTGACTGAGAAAGTTCATTATACGGTTCTTTAGGAATGATACCAAATCCTTAATCTTTTTTTTTTAACCCTGTGAATAGTGCTTTTAACTTGGATGAAATTATAACAAAATTAATACTCCGAATAACATATTGAATTGTTATCTGACTTTCATCGTTTATTAATTGGCGGATAAAGGCTTTTTAAAAGTAATTATTGGGAAAACATTACACCAGAACTTTGACGAATTCAGTATCTTTAAATCAACAGAAATTGAAATCCTACTTTAAAAGCCCAAATGTTTTCATAGGATATCTTTTGAGAGAATAAAGTCATAGGCTATCAGCATTGGTTGGCGTGGGTGATCTTAAAAACACAGTTTGCTTTCAAAATCCTTGTACTTTCAGGAGTGCCTGTAGCTTTCGCTAGCGCATTGGCGGACTTCGCGTACCCTCACTTTGGTGATCCCGGAAGGAGTGAATTGTAAGTTTTGTTCAATAGTTTTCTTGCTAATCGATAATTTGTAGGAATTTTCAAATTAGACATAATGAGAATGACAATCATAATTTACGGATCTAGCATCACGCTTATCGCAATTTCGAACGACAATAGTGTAAATGTTCACGATTAGGAACGCAATAACCATCAATTTTTATGACGAGAAAAACGTAAGCAGCGAAGAAATTTGTCGAACGTTATAATGTGCTGCACTGTCTGTCGTTTTCTTTCTTTTTGAAACTATCATGGGATGGAGGTACGAAAGAGGAAAGGTGCTTCGTGTGCATCCCTTCATTTACAGGAAGCAGTTGAAAGATTCGGGTGTGATTATAATGCCTTATCTTTATTTCATCCTTCGTAGTTGTTGGATGTCAATTCGCGGAGGTGAGGCCTGGTTCTTTGGAACACAAGTTTTGGTTCTCGTTGTGGTGAGTTTGAGAGCCTGCAGGCCATCATCATTAGCGCGATAGGATGAGCGTTTCTCGGCCTTCGGGAAGATTTCAGACCAGTCGGACGAGGTCTACCAGGGGTCTGGTACTTATTATTATTAGTGCCGGACCTTTTCCAGACCTCTCGCCGGTTCGCGTTGCACAAAGCGTCATAATTTCTCAAGGGCAAAGGAACGCTCGCACTTAGTCCCTGATAGTGAGGCCGGACCTGCTTGCATGATATGATTTTGAATTTTATGATTATGCTGCTGCTGATGATAATTTAAATTGGATAATCTATAAATCACTGCAAGGTTTAATCCTATCGGAGTAAATTGGTAGCTTTAGTAAAAATCATAATAATTAGCCGACTCATTGACTTATCGTGATCTCGTAAGACTTATTATAATAAACTCCCTCTCGATGATTTTTTTTAAGCTGAATCTCGCCGCCCGTGCGTTCATCGCGAAGGAGATTGCTTGCTGGGAAGGTGATCCGGATGACATCAAAATTGAAAGGGCCAGGTATTATGACGAAGATATTTATCGTGTATCTTTTTTTCCGGTCTTATGGGAGCAACCAGGGTAACATTTAGTACGTTTTTAAGAACTAATTATCGTCAAACGTGATGCAGGAATCGGATGTTGACATCTTTAGTGTTAATGGTGGTGATTGTGATGACGTGGCTTTTTGGTGTCTTGGCTATGAACAACACGGACAGAAAGATCTTCCACTACGTCTTCATTGTCTTCTACACATTCCAGGTTAGAGACCAAGCAATGGATAATCGTCTTGACCCTTTATCTCCCAGGATCTCATTAGTAATTCTCCTTACTGTCTCTCATACAGTTCTTGTGGTGTTAGTTTGGAGAATTTGGTATTGGATCAACTTATAATTCCCTTACTGATATTTTCCTTTATTCTCATGACTTGTCTGCTTGACATTGCATTGATATTGTAAGGAGAAATTCTGTCTTGGTCAATCGTGGGAGGTAAAGGGTTAATCTCGTCTCTCATTGACCATTTCATTACCAAGATCTCCTAACTGTCTGCTCTGCAATTCCCATGATGTAATTTCAGAGAATTTGGTATTGGATCAACCAATAATCCCCTATTTAAAATTTTTATTTATTCATAGTTAGTCTGCTTGATATTGTATTAATACTATAAAGAGAAACTCTGTTTTGGTCACTCTTGAGATTTAAAGGTTTAACGGTTATACATCTGTATGAAGGGGTCTCCCTTTAAACCCCGATATGAGACGTACTCTAGGATTCACTTTTCGCACATACTCGCCTACAGGTTTTCTTTAGTTTTGAGACAACAAAATAAACATTAAGTAACCATAGTGATATAGGTATCGAATCAAGGTGAATTGGTTGGCTGAATAGATGGTAGCACAGTTAGACATCAGATATCACTGAATTCTGTGTTATCCCCTTTTTACGAAGACTGAAAGCTTCATCATTGCAAACATTTCAATTTAATTACCGATCGACGTTGAAATACAGTGCTCCTGCCGGTTATAAGGTTATTAAACACAAGAAAAATCTGTTTTCCACTACAATACTTCCAGCTGATATGTATTTTGTTTTCTTTGCAGGGTCTACTGGTTCTGCTTTTTTACTGTGTCCGCAACCAAGAGGTAAGTGTCATTTATCATACTTTGAAGATAGTTAAGGTTATTCGGTTAACTGGTCTCTCTGCATCAGGGAATGATCTGTTCCAAATGACGCAAAAATGACTTAGTGACGCAAAATTTAAAATGAAACAGAAATGAGCCGGGAGGATTAATTTAATTTTTTTTCCGGATATCAATGAGTTCATCAGGTGGGAAAACAAAGGTAGCGTGTGGACGTCTCTTCCTTTCGAAAGTAGAGAGGGAGAGGCACGTCCTTTTTTAAGCTGTCACGTTAGTGTCTGATCTCGTGTCCAGATCCTACCGTGTAACTTTAACCAATGTACCACTTGGCCATAAAAGGTTTCGGTACGAGACTAGTTGGTATCATCAATATTGTCGGAGAGTAGGCTTTTCCAAACGTCCAGTTAAACGAAACGCGAGGGTAAAGCGCGCCACAGTAAAGGAGGAGGGTTAAAATGAGGGAGACTTGGGTTCTTGTAGCGTAATTAACGGCGTCCTCTACGCGACGCGACGCGACGCGACGCAACGCGACCCAACCTGTCGGCTATTTTCACTCTGCCGTTACTGTCGCGCTGTTCACGATTTTGTAAGGATTTTGCACAGTCGTACTTGCATAACGCCCAGAGCAGGCCAGTCCAAGAAATGAAATTAAACTTTAATTTCAATGTTTTATTTGCAGATGTGGGACTATCGAAAAGATAAAAAGGACGAGGAAGAGAAAGAAAAGGTAATAATCAGATATTCAGAAACGACAACAAAACAAACGAACATAAAACGAAGCGTTTTTCACTTCTTCAGTAAAGACCTCCCTCTAAAGGCATGGTTATACAGGGATCTTCCTGTGCATAATTGTAATTTCTAAGAGTAAACAGCAGCTGGTTTCTCCTTACAGCGTCATCCTTGAATCACACATTAAGACTGTGAGAATGAAGGAAATTATAAGAGTGAAACAAGTTTTCCGGAAAACGAGGGCCTTGTCATGTAGTACGGGAAATGTAGAAGAAACAGTATGGAGAATTTGCGTATTGATGTTAGGGACTGAAGCGTTAAACTTATTAATGGCAGTTGTCCCAACAATACGAAACAGCAGCAAACAGTCAAACATGCAAAGAGAGAGCAGTTAAGAACTAACACGAAATTCTAAGCCAAGAAACGTTGTTATCCTCGGCGTTGACGTTGTGTCTCCAGTAATTGCTAAAAATTATTTTCAGTTATTGAGTCTGATCTTTGTACCTTATCATACCCAAAAATAAATCATTTGATAAAAAATGTGCATAAAAAGACTGATCTAGTTTACCCAGATAGCATGCCTTATATATTTTAACAAATGTATCATTCTGTTTTTTTTTTTCAGAACAAAACCTACGACTTTGTGTACCATCCATAAGAGCAACAAGTATACCCTCAATACTAGATAATTTTGTAAAAACGTTTGGTAGAAGATTGCACTTTTATTCGTTTCATTAACGAACTAAAGGGACTTACAAAGAAATTGCCCTTTTTGTAGATGGTGAAAATTAGTTAAGGCTCCCATGATATTGAAGTTAAGCATAAAATTTACGGTAAACGGCAAAAATTAAACTTCTTAGATTCGCCTGTTTATTGCACTAAAACAAAATTATTTGCATTAACTGTAAACAAGAGACTGTTTATACATCCCTGTAGGATTGATCGGGGATTATTGTTTGGGTGATTCTGAATAAGTGATAATCCTTAGACGAGTTTGAGCATTGAGATGAGAAGTTTACATAGATGTGGCCTTAGTAACAAGACTTCACTGGTAGTTAAAAATCTATCAATTAATTTATCAATTCAAGTGCAATCTGGCGATAGTATTGCTCTTCTCATTACTAATTCTACACAAGTTCCCTTTGAGGACTAAAGATGTTAATAAACACCGAATAACAATCTACTGCAGCATATTTCACTTGTCTTCTAACTCAGTACAGATCGCTCGTAGGCGCGAAAGGATGAAGATTCAAGAGAAATGCTACACCCTGTTCCTTATACGACCGTCCTGGTCACCCCTAGTAGTTCAAAATAATGCCCCTGCATTCGGGAGGATTGAATGAAATCCAATAGAGAGTCACCAACGACCGAGCGACCACGATAACAATACGCTTT